ATAAAACAATCTGGTTTGGCCTTTTGCCAAAAACATGTTTATCATCTATCAGCTGACCTTACTGCCAACAGAACAAAAGATAATATGTACTGTATTTGAATCAAGAGTCTTTTAACTAATTCATGTTAATTCAGGATTCTATAACACATGTTTTCTAATCTTGACTAAAAATTGTGTTAATTGGGTTCTAACCCCTCGTGAACTGCCAACTACTGTCGTGGGGGAGTTTGAGTCCACAGTCTAGATAATCCAGGTGTTATAAACCGAAAAGACAACTGACCTCCGGTAGGCCTTCCACCTGGGACCAGATGCAGAGAGGAGTGACCAGTGGTCAACGACTGAGCAGAAGTCTAAATAAAGCGGAAGAAACCGTTAGCTTAATCTTAACTTCCCCTTATGTTGTTTCAGTGGCCTATTAATCAAACAAAAACACAAAACCGCACCTGTTCTGTTATTATTATGCCACTACCTCAGCACCAATACTTCTTTCTTTACCTAAACACTGAACACAGAGCATATAACAAATTAAAACAAACAATTTTGGTTTAAAGACCAAAGCAATTTAACCACTTTGTGTGACATTGGTCAGTGAAATGTGCTTTATAAATAGAGAGTATACTTAGTAATTAAATAATAAAATGTGCAAGTATTGTGTATTGTATATAAAGACTAAAAAGAACGTAATTAATTATATATTTTCACAAGGAACTATACGTCAAAAGATAGAAAGTATATGAGAAACACAGATAGTGTCTCCAATCACAAGGTCAACATGTGCAAATCATATACATCCTTTTATCCTTAATCTTACAATAGACTCAATGGCATTACTTTATGTTAGAGCTGCAACTAACGATTATTTTGTAATCGATTAATCTATCGATTATTTTTACAATTAATCAGTATTCGCTTGGCTGTGAATTGTGTAGAAAAAATTTATTTTTTCATCACAAAAAGCTAAAGTGGCAACACTCGAGGACGTATTGATGGCGTAAACTTAAAGTAAATGTTTGTAACAGGCTCTTTGTGCTAATTCTGCTATCTGATTGGATGAGACAGACGGATATTCATGAAATTATAAAAACAAAGTCGGTTTTAATCAAAAATACTACATTTTCATGTCATTTTTGCTCTGTTTGAGTCCGTGTGAACCAGAAAACGATTAATCGATTACTAAAATAGTTGTCGACTATTTCAATAATCGATTAGTCGTCGATTAATCGATTAGTTGTTTCAGCCCTACTTTATGTTAACATTCCTTAAAGTCAGTAACAACAGTCAGTTTCATTTTTAAAAGGCATATACAGTGGGGCCAACAACTGTGCAAGTCCTCCCACTTAAAACGATGAGAGATACTTGTAATTAATATCATGAGTTGATATGCATCCAAAGAACAACATACTGTGTTGGGGATGTTTTTCTTAAAAAGGATCAGGACAACTGATCCATGTATAGGAAAGAATGAATGGAGGTCCTGGAGTGGCCTAACCAGTCTCCAGATATCGACCAAAAAGAAAGTCTTAACAGAGAATTGACATCACTGCTCTAGAAGAGATCTGCATGGACCAAAATACCACCAATAGTATGAAAACCTTGTGAAGACAGAAAACGTTTAGCTCTGTCATTGCCAGCAGTATTGAGATTGTCTCTCATAGATGAGGTATACCTGTGATGAAAATGATAAGAATCTAAATAAAATGTGCACTTCATTTATCCCCATCATTTATTGACCCATCCTGGAATTCCACTTGGGCCTCTGTCAGGAGAACAATCTCTCATCTTTTCAATTAAGTAGACTTGCGCAATTGGTGGCGTTTTTCCCACCATATGTAGTATGATGTAAAAAGAAATAATATCCCTTAAAGTCCCTCCTCTTGGCATGACCACAGCCAGTAACAGATCAGCTGGAGGAGAATAGTTAGACCAAGAATTTAATGTAATTTTTCTCTGTTCACTATTTGAAACTGACATTCACTTTAAGCAGATCCTTTGGGTTGACAGTCTCTTTGGTAAAATGCAGTTGGTATCTACATAAACATAGCATCTGAAGCATCCACCAGAGCGATCAGAGCCAAGGCAGGATATTTGCTCTACAAGAAGGGACACTAGTAAAAATAATCCTCACATTATAAAGTGTGTATGTTTATCTTTTATTTTATTCCCAGAGTGTCAGCTATGCCCTTCTTAGGGACTCAATAATTGGACTTTATGTCACCTCTGGCCCCAGGGTTGCACATTGGACAGAGGTGACCTTCACCTCTCACCCATAAAGGCAGGTAATTGATTTTTCACATGGAAGAAATACAATATTAACATATGTTGTACACAGCCCAAGTGGCATCAATTCATATATCCTTGTAACTACCTTCACAAAATAGTCTAAAATACTATTTCCCCTTAGCTTCCATCCAGATCCCCCATGCGCTACATCAAATATCACTTCAACTTTTACCCTCCCGTCTTTTTCTGTACTACTCCTAACCATTCTATTGTTCGACCTTGAGTGAGATGCTGTCAGGCGCTTTTAGAACATAAGCGTTGCAGTTTTTTCCCCACAATCCACTGGGAGTGCCGAGGTGAGAGCTATGTGGCACCGGTAGCACTCCGGAGTGGCTGGCAAAGGATCAAACACAAAAAAGGAAAAAAAAATAGGTTCCAGAGCTCATTCCAATTATAACAGCACACACTATCAAGTACAAATACAAACAGTGTGTAAGTGATAGCGCTGGTGGCCAGAGAGCAAGGCTAGCATGCTAATCAGGATACCTCTTGCCATCGGCAATTTAGGGAATAGCCTCAAATCTGCACCAATTCCCCACGCTTTAGCCAGGGAAAAGGAACGGGGAAAAGGGAGGGAGAGAATTCCCCCAGTGCACAATCCAAGGACAAAATATTTGAAAATGGATCTTTATCTTTGCTCTTGGCCAATATCCATTTTAATTATAATAAAGTGAAAAAAATGTGTTCATTGAAAACAGTGGTACCAGTAATACATCAGACTACAGCAAGTTTGGACAGGGCTTGTCCATTATGTTTCTTATCCATGAATAAGGATTGTTCACGTTTGTCTTTGAAGTGCACCAGCTGTGACTGAGTACTACCTCGACATGGTGAGTAGCACATACTTCACAGCAAGAAGGTTGTGTGTTTGATCCTGTGTGGAGTTCGCAAGTTTCTCCCCTTGTCTGGGAGGGGTACCCCACGTTCTAAAACATGCACCATAGGTAAAATCCACCAGCTCTGATAGTCCTGATCAAGCCAATGAGATGAGTCTATAATAAGCACAACACTGTGACAACTAGTGGCAATGTGGAGGACAATAAACTTCTCTGGATGAAAAGGATGCCCTCTCTCAATTACCTATCTCTATGAGGACATTTTTCAGACTATACTTTTATATCGAGACATTCATTGTTTCTTAGTTTTTTTTAAATTTTGTTTATAGCTAAATGTTTGAAAATATATGTGTGGATGTATGTGTTTCTTACATGCTTGTATAGTATTTTGATCTATAGAACTACTATTGCAACAACACATCATCAGCAGGGTAAAAAAAACTGTCTCACGACATAATTTTGACAAAATGGGTATTGATGTTTGGATTGAACCAAACTGTAAGAAACGATTATTATAGAAAATTATTCTATAACTATTGCTAATTGCACTTTGGCTTCAATGTACAGAATAATGAAATATTGTTGTTTTCATTAAGAAAGAAAGCTTTAAAATGTATAGCATGCTCTAGTAGCTCATAGTGTCAATTTTCCATTAATGCTCACAAGTTGAAAATTATAATTGATTTTAAAGGGTCATTAACGGCTGATTTACTTACTTACTTACAATTACTATAAACCTTTCGTAAGTTGTTACACATAAACACAACACTTATTCATTTTCCCATTTATCATCAGAGAGGAAAAGCACATTTGAAACATGTGGCTACAAAATACAATGCAAATATTTATTACCATGCAGACATTTTATATTGGTTTAGGCATGCACAATTTGATGACAGCTGGTGCGAGTCTTTAACACTTTTGGAAAACTCCAATATGAAAAGTATATTTTCGCTAACTATGCTGAGGTTCCAAATAGTATTTAGTGAAAATGTGAGCATATTAAAAGGTAAGCAACTCTTAGACACAGTATGGCATTAAACTTATCTGCATTTATTCAACATCTATTGAAATGTAAAGTGGCCTGGTGGCATCAGCTCCTTGTGGTTGGAGAAGTTTAAATGACAAATGCTATTCTTTAGTATTAAACTTTAAGACAAACACAATGATGTATTTACATTTTGTGCTTTATAAAAGTCTGTTCACTTTCACTCCAGTCTGTTATTTCCTGAACAATAAATAGTGTGACATCACAACCTTCCAAAGAGCCTATAGTTTAAGATTGTGACGGAGGGCAGCTGCAAAATCTCACCTTTAACAAAAACAGTCACATAGTTTGACGCATTCAACTATGGATCAACAAGACTTTTTTCCTCTGGTGTCTAATAGTGGAGACAATATTCAAAAACATATGCATGAAGGTTGCCGTGACTTTCCAACGAAACAATTATACGGTGGGTTTGTGAATCTAATCACTATAAAACAATCTGGAAAACATTTGCACTATTTATTTTTCAACATTTCTTTCATTAGCTTCATTTCCATACAACTGAAATTGAATTATATGCAACATATTACTCAAACACAAAAGAATCAAACAAAATAAAGCGTTTGTTTATGGCAAGGAGAAGTCAAGTTTACATAAGTTTTTCTTTTTAAAGCCATACTGCGATTGCTGGTAATTGCTAGTTTATCGCCAGCCCAACTCACACAACTGGTTGGTATCGCTATTCTAACCTTTGAGAAAGGTTTAGCCAGCTCCTCAGTCATTCGCACATCACCTCACACTGTTTATCGCAATTAGTCTGATTATTCATAACATCTTCCACCAGCATCCCGCCGTCGTCGTGGGCAACACACCCAGCCAAAGTGATTTATACCCGGTCAATCGTCATGGGGAGAAGAGGGTTGGGTTGGGTGTAATGGCGAGCTTTTTCTGTGGCGCACGTGGGCCAGCCAACCCTTCGGAGCTTGGCAGGTCTCCAGAGAAGTGGGCGGGGCTACAGCGGGAGCCCGAGCAAGAGGCACACATTGTGGCACCACGGGACCCCACCACCCCACCCCTGAAGGCACAACTCTCAAGGACATGGAGAACTGGGGCAGAGAACTTCCAAAAGCTTCCCACTGTTAGGGCACGAAGAGCGGAGGGGGGGGGGACTGCATCTGTGGGTCTGTCGCCAACATGGTGGCTGCTTGTTGTTTCACATTAGGGTAAATAGTTCATCAAAAGGTAAAGATAAGGTTGTAGTTGTGAAAAAAAACTGACCAGCAATGATTATATCTCACGCTTGGAATAAGCTGTAGTAAACCAAAAGAATGTATCTGAATGACATAATCTGTTTTTGAGGAATCGTAAACTTTGTAAATCCCCTGAAAAAACTGCTACTGTATTGTGATTTAAGGTTATACAAAAATAAATTGAAATTAAATTACATTGACTAAAATGCGTAATTAAACTTGTTTCTAGCCAAATCTTCAGCTAGTTTCTTCCATGATAGTCAACTAACACATATGTTGATCAACAAGGATGTCATCGACCGAATAATTCATAAATAATTTAAATCACCAACACAGATCAGTAAATCAAACAGTTCTAACACAAAAAATATAGAACACATAGGTATTGATCCACAGGGGGAGTTTGACCAATGTCATCAAATGTTGTAGATTCAGAAAGTTAGAGTCTCCTGGATCATCCCCACTGTTGTTTTATTCTCTGATCTGCGTTGGTGAATTGACAACTTTGTTAAGTCCTCTGCGATAACTACTGTTGTGATGTAGGGCTATGTAAAAATAAACTTAAAGAGAACAGGAACAGTCAGAGAAATGAGTGTGTTAATTAATAGTGAAGTTAATTTTGGCACAATGTGTCCAGTGCACCACTGACCTTCTTTGGTTCATTCATCATTCTGAGGAATGATTTGGATAGACAGAGCGACTTGGTCCTCTTCTTGGTGCACCGTCTACCATAAAACGCAAATAGTATCGGTGAATCTTTTCTCATATTATGCTGAAAAGTTATGTGCATTCAGGTCCAAATGTTTGCATATGCTAAATCTGTTCAAATAAACCCCAGGAACTTAGCTGCTGGAATCACTGGCTTATATAGTCTTACAGTCTTCATGCAGGGACATAACTTTAGCTTTAGCAGACAAATAAATGACAAAAACTTCAGAAAATAAGCCTGAGTAGAACAAAATATACAGTATTTACCAGTTGAATCTAACTTTTGCCATTTCTGATCCATGTGGGTGTTTGGAAAAAAAAAATCATTGTTTGGTGGTGTCTAAGTCAAATGTTGAACAATTATTTGTATTAAAATTGGAAAGATTTATATGAGATCAACAAATGACAGTAACATCTCGCTTGTACTATAGGTTATAGGTTACTATAATCATTATGTGGGTAGTTGCTTCAAATGTTATCTTTTCCAACTGTATCTCTATTGAGGTTGCTATTTTTACTTTAAACATTTTAAACAGAGCGGATTTAAAATATAACATCGTAATGTTGGTCAGAAATACTTCAACTTTAGTCATTTTGACGCCAAAATTGTTCCAAGGATGTCAAGGATACCAATATGACGCAAGGACAGACTTTCCGATATTTAGTGATGCGCAGCACACAGAGAGGGGACTTGTTTTTCAGCCCCCAGTACTGTTGCCATGGCTGCGGCGCATGACTGAGGCTTTGAACTCATGTCCAAAAACCGCACTCACCTGATTTGGCACCACCTGTTTCCAAACATTCAAAATAATCCCGGGCAGCAAAGGTAAAGTGGTGGAGGGCTGAGGTTGTACTGTGAGTGATTTCACTTGTACATCTTTTGAAATGTTTTAATGCCAGAATATTGGATTGCCAAGCACTGAAATAAAGGCATTGTTTTTCTTCTGCAGGCAAAACTTCTATAGAAAGACAAGGTCAAGATAAAGAAAAGTATTTGTCAAAGTATAGCAGAAACTGTTCTGTTAGTGTGATCACCCTGGTAAGTGATACTCATTACTGTCTTAGTAGTGGTGGAATAGAGGAAAAAGCACAGATGTTTCAGTCAATATTGAAAGTAATTATGCCCCTTGTAGTCAGAAATTGTAGCCCGGTGATAGTACTTTGACAATGTGCTCGCACTTTTACAAACTTGTGACATAAAAATGATGCACAAATCTATTACTCAGTGCATTTTAGAGAATAGAAAGTAAATCCGCCCTCTGCCTCTGCATCCCCAGTGCGGCTGGATGCCAGGTTCACTGTGGGTCAGCCCTCTCTTCTCCTCTCTACTTCACAGGGAAGGAACCACACTGCTCGGAGATGGAGTACCCCCGACCAAACCTTAGCCCATCGACCCATTGTCCCATCCTGAGCCTCTAATGGAAGTCCCGGGCATCTAGACGTCTCCCCCGCTCCGACATGGGCGTCAAGTAGAGCTCCACTCATCATTGAAAAACAGCATGTCCTACACCCCCCCACCCGCCTCGCCACACACCCTCCTGTCGCCTCGCTTGGACTCAGGCTTTTTGGGAACATTGCGCAATGGGCAGATGCGCCCAGATGAGCACATTCTAATTTGTGCCGGTCCAGGTTAATGTGCTGTCAGTGTGCACCCCCAAAGGATCAATAGCTTTATTTCCCTAAAATGTGACCATGGTGAGGCCCAAACCGCGCGGGGTGCTTTTAATACCGCTGCAGTTCCAAAAGCGACGTTACTGGGGCCAGTATCGATCCGTGACATGCGTGGAATTACGTGCCGTCTTCTGGGGAAGGATCTATTTGTGTCACCCTGGGCCGCGGATGGGGACGAGGGGGGTTTCACTGAAGGAGGAGAGTACTCAGCCAATGGAGGATGCCAAAAACATCAAAACAGCCATGTTTACAGATTACCCAAAGGGAAAGCAAATTACAGCAATTATGCAGGCTGAGGGAATACTGATATCAGCGCATTACCTGCAAGTCAGACCGAGGCACAAAGCAGCACACTTTTTTGATTGGTTAGCCTTGACAAACGATGGGATTCTAACAAAACACAAGCCCGCTGTCAAGTGTATGGATTCCAAATCAGCCTATAGGCCTACTTCAAGGTTCTCTTTACATGGAAATGTGACCTATGCACTTATCCTAAGGAGAATAAGTTCTAACAGCAGATGCTCAGGGTTGGTTGGGAAACAGAGAACTAGCCTAAGTCAGTAAAAGTTCCTAAAGAGAGAAAGAGATGGTCAGCAGTGTCTTGTTATCTGTTGTCTTCATCAGAGTCTAAAATAAGGGACCAACTGATTCATCATTTTGACCCACAGATCTGAAGAAGTCTTGCGAGGCATCAGCCAAGATTTCTTTTTTTCATCATTGCATGTACAGCCTCCGCTCAGCCCCCAACTCTTTTTAATCAAACTGTGATCATTGTACTACAATCCACACAAATATTATTGATTACTGTGAAAGGTCCACAGCAGCCACCCAGTGAGATCATAAACACAAGTTCACAATGTCATCCATCAATTTAAATGTATTTACTGCATGAAGAGTCACATTATTTATTTAAATATTAATTATTTATTATGTAAATAAATAATATGCTGAGAGTTTGAAATTATTTACTTGCAATATATATGCTTTCCCCAAGTGTTTGTGGCCGATCTTAAGATCAAAGAATAGAGTTTTTAATTTAAACATAATGGCATTATATGATTATATAAATCAGTTTCGGCTGAACAGAATCCCCCCTCCCCCTATCAGCATCTGCATCAGTTCTGATAATAATGAAACACACTGTTCCCAAATTACAATATCACAATGTTTTGTAAGATGAGGCTCATTACAAATCACATTCATGCTTACGGACACTATCTTTAGCCTGCATATCTTTTCATTAAAATACTACCACCACAGTGTGTTACCTATTACTGTATATAGACACTAGCAAGAAAATAATGATTAACAATGTTTTTGTGTCAACTCGAATGACAGTTCAGAAAATATTCATGTCATACAGATCACACCTACACCATTTTCTAACTGCAGCTAGTTATTATAGTACTATTCTCATCAAATATAAAATAATGACTATAAACATTAATGAATAATAATTAGCAAACACTAAAACAGTCTTATATGTTTTATGCAACACCAACTGCTTCTGCCATTTCCTCTATAAACAAGTCCATCCACTACAACTTGACCATGTTCAAGCTATCGTAAACCTATATTAAATTTTTCTACCAAAGCTGAAGTTTCACTATTTCTAACAAAACAGGCCTTTTTCCTTCAACAATAATAATTAATCACCAGCATTCACACTAATTTGCCTTACAAGAAACCCCTTTACCCTTTCCATGTTCAGCTCATACATCAAGAGCCCGCACCACACAACCTACATCCAGAGACTTACCCAAATTGCAGCCTTTTGTTTTGCAGCCTGGCCTGACATATTCATGACCAAGGCCATAATAGTCAGATTCCTGCCCTGGCCCCCAGGGAGAGCAGGCAAAATGGTGTCAGCTCCAATTACTGCGCTGCACATAGAGGTAAATCAAAACTGGTGCCGTGAACCCTGCTCAAGCTGTACCAGACAGGACCCCTGTCAACACAAGACAAATAATGGAGGATGCATAAGGATTGTCAGTGGTATGGGATGGGATTATGGTTTTCTAAATTGGCAATAAAATGTCACATGCTACTACAACCAGTACATGTATATTACTTGCAACATTGGTGAATTACAAATACTTCAGCACCCCATTTCTCAACTCGCTATTTCAACTTATCCTCCTCTCTGCCAGACTTGTGGACTATAAACTACTACAAATGTCAACCTGGCAACCAGGGCAAATTGTTCTTTGAGCTTGACCTCTTCATTGTCACCTGACACAGTAGTGTCAATATTGTAGGCTACATGTTTTAGAATGGGAAGTTGCAACAAGAAACCAACCACAAAACTTGTTTCTTATTTTCAATGGAGACATTAGACCAAGTGTAGACATACATAACTATAGTCATGAGCAATAAAGAAAGAAAAGAAAGACAAATCACATATCATTATATTACTTCAGCTACACTTCAAGTGAAGAAGGAGCCGCTCTATGTAGCCTCAGATTGAGTACTTATTGAGTCCAGCATTTGGTTTTCAAATAATGAAAATGATCCTATCTGGAGGAGATAAAACGGTCATCAAGTCTTCTCAGTATGGATTGCTTGAGCTTTCTGCAAAGCAGTGAAACCTTTGTGTTCACGGTAAGTCTTGGGGAGGCCTGGTGCTTTGCTTGTTGGAGGCTATCTCAGCAGTGCATAGCCCCATTTCACCCTGGAGTGCTGCAGAGCTCCTGCCCAATAAAACAGGCTCCCTCCCCAGGGCCCCTCCCTCAAGCCTCCAGTCAGCGCTTGTTTTTGCACCATTTATTTAGTGTGACACATCTCCAATTAAACTGTGGAGGCTGCTGCATTCCCCCCATAACTACCTCTTATACCTCCCCATAGACTTTCTGTCACACCAGGCTGTGGATGAGAGAGTGAAAGGCAGAGTTAGTGCCTATTGAGCGGGGGAGAGAAAGTGTCTGCCAGCTCTGATCACAAAGTCATTTCCCCTCAGAGGAGAGGTGCCTCCTCAGAAAGGTGTCCAGAATTAGAATTGTAAAAATATTGAACACAATAATGACCCCATGCACTACACGCGATGCAGCAGACAGTGAAGGGGAGCATAGTTGTAACAGAGTCAGAATAAGTAAGAGGAAGTGATGAGAGGTACTTTAAAGTAGAAAGTAAGTACGTTTTGAGTTTGCTCTATGCTTTACCAAACTCCACAGGGTCACTACGGGCCAATGTCTCCTATGTGTTTGTTACTGATTGCATTTACGTTCAATTTTCTGATCTGTTGTAGGCGAATCTACAACTTTGTCCTAGGAGATGCCTGTTGTGATTTACGGATATACAAAAAAATATATATAATCAAATTGGGTTTACTAAAATCTTGGCATTTCGTCCTGGGCACAGAAAAATTACCATTGTGTTGAGATATTTTCCTAATATGACTTAGATAAATTCACAACCTGGTTAAGATAAGTTAATTTTGGTTACTATTGGGGATATCTTAACTCGGATTAACCAGGCTAGCTTTGTGCAACACGAAATACCAAGACCTTGCATTAGCTACCATCTGTAATAGCTTTATCGTTAAACTCATATTTCCTGTGCTGCCACGTCAAAGCTTTGTCCTTATTCTTAAGTTTAACAACATACCATCATTAGTGGGAGCTCCAGTCTCATTGCCCAGAGGCCCCCAGCCAGCAGACAGCCATAGAAGGAGTGACTTTGTGCGACCCCAGTGGGTGTGTGGTGGGAGCGCAGCTGGTGGGGGAGCACCCAAAGGCTCCGGAGCCAAGAGTGGGTCCAGTGCACCCCCCGAGCAGCTGGGAGAGGCGGGGCGGCCAGCTGTGGACCAGCAGGACACTGAGGTGAAGTGAGGAGGCCACTAAAGGAGACTGGCTGCATCCGAATTCTTCTACTTACCTAGCTCTTAATACTGTCCTGTATGTGCGCTGCAGCATTGACATTTTCCCCACTGTGGGACGAATAAAGGTGATCTTATTTTTTTTTAAATAATATTCAGACTTAAATTGAACAAACCTGAAGATTGCTCCTAAAAAGCATTTATTAAATACAAGGAAGGATGAGGAAACCAGAAAAAAGTAAAACCTTAAAAAGAAAAACTTTCAAAGCACAAAAAACTATGTACGCCATCTTCTAAGTTACATACTGTCTGAAACTTAATCTTGGAACCTCTTATCACTAGTTATTTTTACATTAATTTTTGGCCTGTCATTTGCATAGGCATTTTCAGAGAGGACCATCTTCTCTCAGCCAATCAGCACTCAACCTTCAAATAGTAATTCACAAGGCTTTTGTAGTATGGAAAACATGAGGGGGTACAGTCTATGGGGGAACAGTATGCTGGTGTATCCACAATACTTATAAGACAGAATAACATGTTAAAAACAAGTCAGTTGGCTTTAATTGCATAGTTTTAAAACCAGAATTGCCAATGGAACAAGCAAAAATGGCCCTTGAAACAGGTTTAAACTTTGTCAGTTTTTAAGTGTAGGAGGTACAATTTATAGGAATACCACTACAACTACTGACCTCACTAAAACACAAAGTAGTCACATAAGTGCACAGTAAAAGTACACGTCGCAGGTATGGCTGAGACACATCTGCGCCGCCTCTCACAGACTCATCACCTGCTCAGGACGATGGAACAGTCTGTGGCCCCTGAACAGCACTGCTCCGGACACACATCTGCTGTGCCATCTGCGCCCTCCCCTGTGACGGGTAGAGCCTCTGCCTCCTGAGGGGCGAGGGAGCAGGACGTGGAGGTAATTTTGGGTGTGAATGTGCTCTGGCCCCTCTCCTGATGCATCTGGACCGAGCACGAGATGCTGCAGTGGGGCACGGCCATTAGAAGCAGAGTGAGGGACATGAGGGTAAATGGATGAAGACGCAAGTACTAGATCAAGCTGTCATGTTTATATCAGTTTCAGATACTCATTCTATGTTGTGTAGAAAAATACAAAAGTAGGTATTAAAGATTCATCCAATTTATTCTCATGTACAGTTATACAATGCCAAAACACCAAATGTGACCACTTCAATGGGGTGCAGATGCAAAATATTACAACAGCTACATAAACAGTTTGAGTCCCTCCCCTTCAGCTGTTGTGCATATGGGATCAATAATGTATGCACCATAAAACAGGTATCAAGCCAGTGACAAAACTGCACAACTGCTGGTACTGTCAAATTAACAAACCCATTGGAGAACGTAATTATCACATTTTATGTTACGTATCGGACAGTAACAATCTTCATATTAACAAACTGTTTGCGTGAAAAAGATATATTTCACCTGAAACAGCCTGTCATTCACATTCACAATTTTGCAGTCAATGGACAAAGTAAGGTGGCTTTTTGCAGTGGCAACATATTACCTTATAATTGGCTGTTGTTTCTGATAATTGATCTCTTGTGTAAAAAAAGACAAATGGACCCTTTTCACTGACAAAGAAATGCAGGATATAGCAACAGTCGCATGCTTTACCCATAGCTCGTTTTCAAATGAATGATTTTCTGCATTTTCCCCCTTCCGTTTTTACATAAATACTTCTTACGGCATACAGGTTACCAATGATCTGATCCAGTTGTACAAGTGAATAAAAACATACAAAACCATGTGCTGCACGGGTCATCATAAAAATAAAAATAAAACATTGACACATACAACTTTATGAAATCAACAACACATTTAGAGGACTAGTTCTGTCTTATACAAAGATAACCCAATCTAAAAAGCATAAAATATATTTGTACATACTCACATACAAGACAACGTGTACCATGGCGGCGCAGGAAGTTCCATATATGGTTTGGAGAGTACTCCCTACTGCTGGCATTATTGCTTCATATTGACAACAATTGACAATGAATGCACCGTGCTAGATGCGTCTGTACATTTTCAACATCATGAACAAATTCTAGTTAAGCCCATTTCACAATAAGCAATGCTCAAGAGTAAGGCAGTTCCATTTGTAAGGCATTGCTGCTGGGACTTGATAAATACATGATCAGGTGATATTTCTTTTACAGGCATGATACCCTCCCAAAGAAAGAGAGCTATGTGTGTAACTGTTGAAATCAGTCTCAGTAAACCAGGGTTATAAAAGGTTGCTGTAACAATCTTTCATTGCTGGTAGTTTCCGTATTGGCCCTGTGAAAGGAAAATCAAAAGTTTGTCAAAAAAGGAAGCAGCTTTCAAAACAAATGCTTAACAACTGCGATTTTAGGTGATGACCAGCAGGTGGCAGCATGACATCACAACTGAGCCGAACATGTTGCAGTAACCCTTATGGCATTCCTCGCTTGACTTTTAAAATGTTTTTTTAAAAAGGCATGTCCAAAATCAATATAGTGTTTGCCAAGCATGCTAATTTGGGGGCTTGATGTCACACATTTTACCCCTGATTGGAACAAATTATTAAAAAACAATAAGAATGAAAGGAGCAGATAAAGGAAAAGTGAGAAATGCATAATATCATAAGCAGCTTAAGGCCGCAGGACAAAACATAAAAGTCTAGGGTCTTCACAGCAACCATTACCTTTGCTTCTTAACAGAGCTAGTCAGGGGTTCAAATCTCTGGTCTTTATTTCCTCATGTGCCCCTGAATGTTCAAAGATAAAGACATCAAAGTGCAGCGGTGGTCCCACACAAGACCACAGCAGTACAGGGCACACACATACACCCCCATTTATGCACAAATCACCTTTAGTTTTATGTTTACCCATATATTCATCACAGTATTCTGATTAGCAGGGCAGTGTCAATTAACAGTGGCATTTGTAATCTACAGTGATTTATTTGTGTCCAACATACTCACCTGGTCGTAACCGTAAGGGCGCTGTTGTTGTCCTTGTGGAGGGCCAGGCTGCGGGGGGCGATAGGCCCCATATTGCTGCCCCTGGCCCTGCGGATAGTTTGGATACTGGCCGGGAGCGCTTTGGGAAGGACCTAAGAACAATAGAAAATAAACCATTATGAAGGTCTAACTTTTAAAAATAATTTGACATTTTTTACTTGGTCCAGCGTGAGGTCCTTTTAAATATATTCGCCAATCTTTTATGCTAATGTAGGTGAAGTGTCTTGACCAGGAATTTAATTAAAAGAAAGAAGGCAGAGCAGTAAAAGTCCTCAGACTCTAGGGTCGTCACAGAGCAAATAATATGGCTGCGCACTGCAGAGACTCAAAAGCATGGATGAATAGAAAATTAAAAGATAAGATTTTATGGCATAACGCAGTAAAAACTGAAGTGCCTTCTACTCAAAATTATTGTAAAATTATTTTTGAAGCTTTATTACCACATTTACTTTTACCTAAAAACTTTTTAGGACATACCACAATTCAGTTTGATTGTGATTTAGGTATCATGAGCTACACCACTTTTATTCCAACTCCCAACTGCAAACTCATGGAAGTGTTTTGTTCAGCAGTGAAATGCATCACATTGAAGTTTGCGCGACCCTAACGCAGAACGACAAGGCATCAACAATCTTCATTAAGGGCAGCTAACCAAAAATCACTTCATCAGCCAAAGCCACACTGAATGCAGGAGGCAGGAGCGGGGAGTGGGCAGAGGGAAAGGTCTGGAGTCAGATGTGGCCCACGCAGCATCGTTAGGCTGCGCTAATGCCTTCTGCTGTTGAGCGTAACCTTGTGGGGGCCGCGGAGGAAAGCGCCGGTGCCAGATGGAGCTCACCTCACAGCCTCTGCTGCGGCGCGAGCTCATTACCGACTGAACGCGAGCCCTGACTGATGGAAGCCTCCGCTGAATAATTGGATGAGGAGGAAATAGACACAAGTTGGCAAGAGACGCCAATCCTGCGTGTGTCAAACTTTCAGAGGGGCGCGCGGGTATTGACAAAAATGGCGATTCATCATAAGTTGACTTAATTACCCTTTAAGTGCATTGGTTAGGATTTAACAATTCACACTAAACTTAAAAACTACCCACAAAAAGTGTAGGAATTTAATCTGTAATGTGTTTAAATGTATTGCCCACTTTCACGTGAAAAAATGTGTTGGGCATGCTTTGGCTATGGTTAAAAAAAAAAGTTACGTTTCAAAACCTCAATGTTTTTCATCATTTTCCAAACCTGCCTCTAACGCCTACAGATGGATTCTGATTTTCTGAATTTTGACAGCAAGACAAGATGTTGGTACAAGTTACTATTGAGAAGAAAATGTATTTCAGTGAATGATTATAACCACAGCCGATTAAATACATTCAAGACAGAAGTTTACTACTAGAATACGACTAAATCTATGCCAACAAACAGGTTCTTATTGGTAAGCGACACTCAAGTTGTGCCAGTGAATTGGATATTTCTGCTCAAAAATATTTTGTATTCCATTGCACCAACTTGTACTTCATAAATTCATCATCGAAGTAGTCCTAAAGGTTTTTGGGATTTTCAGAGGTGATTCCAGCAGAAACCTGCAAAACGAGAGGCTTAGGATACACACACTAATGATGAAACTTTGCTCCAAGGGATAACTTTAAAAAGAAATAAACTGTTCTATAAATTTCAGGGACCTTGCCCAACTTCAAGAGAATTTCAAAGCAAAAAACTGTGCAAGAACATTTAAGTTAACAATTAATGTTTGTAGCTTGTAGTGATGCACTTTGCATTGATAATGACTACTCCCTTTTAAGATGTTGCATGTAGTTTATTTAACTCTCAGTATTGCTTGTGAATGCTATATTCAAAATGTTTTAATAAGCATTTGAAAGTTGCTAAAATAAAAAAAAAATTCCTCAACAATTTTGGCTGTCTTCTACCAAGCCTGTGGCCTCAAGCAATCAGTTTTCCATTTTGCAACAACTGCGCGTCAATATAAACCAAACGCTGGGGAGAAATGCTAATATGGTGGAAGCGGCTTGTGATTCACTGTTCTACCAAACCTCAAGGCTCCAACTGTTCATTAAAAGTTCTCCATTCTGATTCATACTAGCGCCAAACTTGTGCATTAAATGTTACGTTAAAGAAGGAATAATATATGGAAGACATACATAAAGCATTCCATCAAGTAAAGTCACACAAACTCAAATGTTTTAGAAAAATGCTAATTTTTTGTTAAACCAGATCAACAAATAAAACTCAGTATTTTTCTGATTACCTGTACAAGCCATATGGTCCATATCTACATGAAAAACTAAACTTTAAAACGTGTGAATCATTATTTAACCATGAAAATGTGTTAAAATGTCAACTGAAATGACACAAAACCACAACATCGGCATAACAAGGGTTAGATTTTTTTTACAGACAAAAAGTGGAGCTCTGAAACTTTAAAAGAGATTGAGGACTTCTAAAATCAGAAAATTATTAAAATATACAGTAAACTAGGAATGTTCTGCTAGTTTGGCACCTGTGAGGTTAATATGAAAGATTTTGTGGAAGCAAGAACCAAATACATGGTACCGGTTTCTGAGGCGCTGACCTTCATCAGGCTTTACATAGATATTTGCCATCATTTCTGATGGGGGGGGCACCAGTCAAACAAACCTACTCTAAAGAATAATAATATTGAGAATGTGTTTTGCAGTAATTAAACACCTATGAATCCATAAAAAAAAAAAAAAAAACTCATTTTAGGAGGGAATTTAGAATCTCACACATGGGGCCTCATTTTATCCATCCAGGTGCTAAACTGCAGGTGAAAAGTAAAATAATTAATAAAGTTTGCACCAATTATAAAGAGGGTGTGATTGACTTCAATTCAAGCAAATGCTCAATATTCTGATAATTAAAGCCTGGTTTTTTTGGTAAAAAAAAAAAAAAAAAAAAAAAGATGACTGAAATTTCTTCAAAGAATAGTGTGGCCAGCAGAGGGCACACAGATTCTACCATTTGCTTTAATGAGTGAAGTCATTTATGAAAGCAGAACTGCGGTCAAGGAATCTCACTCATTTAAACTATATTGATAAACAAGGACATGGTTGAGGGGTTCCACTTTTCTAAATGACCCTCTCCTTTGCTTTTACTGCAGTCTGTATTCTGGACTTTACCGTAGGCTTGCTGCTGTGGGGGGTAGCCCTGCTGTCCTGGGTACTGCTGCTGAGGAGGATATCCCTGCTGCTGTGGCGGGCCTTGCTGGTAAGCCTCCTGCTGCTGGCCATACTGCGCATTACCTTCAAAGCGGAACAGAAAAGACAATGTCAGATTTGATTAACAACTGAAAAACAACTAAACACACACACAAGCAAAAACCCAAAAATGCATGTGACAAAGATTAGAATTTCAAGCATTTTAGTGCAAGCATTTAGGAGATCCAAAAGAGTCGACGAGTAAAGAATTGTTAGTAGACAATCAGAAAAGCATTAGTACTACTTAAACTAGCCTTTACCATTCATTAATGATAGCAACAAGCTCTTCATGAGCCAAGAACAATCTAGCATGAGAAATTAGTCAAGATGAACTAAGCAGAGCAGCAACAAGAGCTGTATAGTTGTTGATTCAAGAAAAATGCCATCTACGTTAATTTTTCAAAGCAAATTCAATACTCTACCAAAACACAGGAACACCAGTTTGCGTCAATTGGCAAATTATGTTGCCTTCTTGTTTATTAAGCATGGATGCCCTTGACTTCTCCTTCACACCAACAGGTGGAGCTCCTGGCACAACTGTGAACTGCTAAGGCACTGCTATAAAGTGTTGTCATGGCTATGAATCCTCGTCAAAGATTTACGTTGCTGGATTGATTGATTGATTGGCCATCTCCTTTGTTTGATTTCGTTTTGGTATTCCTACCTTCTGTTGTTCCCTGTCCTGCATGACTGTATTGGTCCCCATAGTAGTCTTCCTGCCCCGGATACTGCTGAGGGGGTCCTATACACACACAACATACACACAAGTAGACCCAAGGTGATGTAGGTGGTGGAAGGTGGGAGGGGTGGGTGGGGGGCAATTTTGGATCATCCAAACAGAATTAATGTCCAATTCTGTAAATTCAAATGAGGTCCCTCGCCAAGTTTAGGGCAGGAGCCTGAAATAACTGTTCAAAAATGGTGAATCAATCACAGCCCATATTTGTCTATAAAAGGATCCCGCCCCTATTATGAAAAACGTTGCATTTTTTCTGCGATGTCATCAGAAACCCAGGGAACTTTTACTATATCTATAGAAAGTCAAGGAAAAAAATAAAATGGAAAGTTTGAAAGGAAGTGTTAAAAATGTTTGGATTAGAAAAGAAAACATTCATTCCTAATTTCTCTCACACTGATCGAACTCCACAGGATCTACCTTGCTGTGGGGGTCTGTAAGGAGGCATTGGTCTCTGGCCCATGACATGATTGCCCTGGTTAACCTGACCCATCATGCCCATGGGGTTCTGCTGCCCTTGGTAATGTTGCCCTCCACCACCGGGGGGCATATTGTACTGCTGCGAGGGAGGCTGCTGGTGCATCATTGGACCTGAAGAGAAAACAAGGTCAAGACAACACAACACATTTTAAGCTGTGTACAAAAACAGGGTTTTGGTTCATTTTGCAGTTTTGACACTGAAAGACTTATTGTACTTGATTTGACTTAGCAGTCAATGCTTGCAATGCATTATGTGTTGAAACAATGTCCAAGTAAACTTCACTTTAGCAAAGTCTTGAGAAAGCAGAAATTCAACAGGGGTATTTTACTGCACAAAATAAAAATGAATTGAATGTGCATGAAGAAAGAAAGCATCACTAGGGTCATTTTTTTCTATTTGTTAAAGACCAATATTCTGTCATTGTTGAGATCCTTTATTCGTCCCACAGTGGAGAAATTTAAGGGTTTCAGCGCACATACAGGACAGTAGTAAGAGCACACAGGGAGCACACTAAATATACAAAAATGTCTGCATCGCTCAGCCTTTCAATACTTGACAACTGTTTGAAGATTTTTAGAGAAAAAAAGAAAACATGACAAATCATATCAGCATGATCCTAAGTGATAATTAAGCATGGAAGTCCTGAAATCACTAAACTTAGCCTGGTGCTGGTGGGACTTACCTTGATTTGGCGGCATGTTCATGTTTGGTCGTGGCCCATAGTTGCCCATGGCCTGTCCCTGGGTCATGTTCATTTGGCTCTGTGCGGGCACGCCCTGCGACGAGGGGACTGTGTGGTTGTATCCACCCATTGAGCCGTGGCTGCTGGGAGGCATGTTCATGGCGCCGCTCTGCATGTTGGGAGGCTGGTTAGGCCCAGGACCGGGACCTTGCATTGGCATGTGATTTGGGCCTAAGCAACAACACAACAGTTTGTTTACATTCATACACAAAAGACACTGGCTGCAGACTGATTTTTTTTCTGATCTCAAAGCGGTTTACAATTGTTAATTTTGGGCATTTGTCCCTCACTCCACACAGAGATGGGAGCGGGGTCGCCAGTACACGAGGCGCATGCCAGACCTATTGTACATATTTTTAGTGGTAGGGGAAACCGGAGTACCCGGAGGAAACCTACGCAGACATTGGGAGAACATGCAAACTCCACTCAGAAAGGCCCTGGTCCGACCGGGATTCGAACCCAGGTCCTTCATGCTGAGAGGCGAGAGTGCTATCAATTCAGCCACATATTTTAATTGCACAAACAATGGATTTAAGATGGTCCACTGAGCCTAAACATACTAAAATCAGTTTTAAAAAAATATACTTGGATCAATAGGTAGGTCTAACAAGAAATGCATATTAATTCATAAATAAATTGACTACAATCATGATGCAAAAAAATAGAAAACATGAATATTCATTGCATCTTTTATCCAAGACGACCAGAGCTAGAAAAGGTGACATCATCTTTCCCAAGATCGACCTCCCTCACAGCTCTGGTGTTGCTAGGCAACCTCAGCCAGAACGAAAAAAAAAAAAGGGGATGAGGAAAAGTCTCACATGGGGACACTCACCAGGCATCTGTCCATTCATCTGGTTCTGCATGTGTGGGGCAGGAGGGCCGCCACTTACCATCCCCTCAGACGGCATGTTGTGACCATGAGGTGGCTGAGGAGGGGGGCCGCTCGGGTTCATCCCACCAGGTCCCATTGGCATATTCTGAGTAGGTGGCTGCAAGCATACGAACAGGACGCAAGGTCAACTGTAATGAAAATATGAACTGAACCAGCATCTACATCCCATAAAGAGACGTTGTTGTACAATGTTTCCCCCCCCAATTAATTCATAGAAACAGAATCGACACTTATTTATATGAGTTGCCATTTAGAGTATTCAAACAGTTGTGTTTACAACCTACAACCAAATATAGGTTCTATACTCACAGCTGGAAGTAGAGACTGCATGTTCTGATTGGAGTCTGCTATCGTGGCTAAGTATACAAGATTTCTGTGCAACATTTGCTGGTACCTGAAATATGGGGCAACAGATAAAAACGAATTAATTTGAATATGTACAATGAGGAGCACTTCTACTAAGTGTTACTTACTGTGAACATTCTGCCGTCTTTCCTTTGCTTTGAAAGTCCATAATACACTGTATGAGTTGGTTGTTTTCATCAAGCAACTGGAAGATAGGATGCGAGGTTATGTCATGGTGTACTACGATTGATGACATTAATGAACGATTAGACACTGGCTGGGCTGTGTTGTGTTGTGCGTTGTATGTTATGGAACAATAGAAAATGTGTGAATGTGCTGTTCTGTGAAACAAAAGACGGCTCTGGTCAGCTAACAGTGTACAGCTAACAAACCCGCGGGGCCTTCATTCATTAATTGATTAAAATACATGGTAGACGTTTAGTAAGGCTTCAGATGGGATCAACACATGGCGCCCTGCTCATGCTGAAGTTCATACTGAGCGCGCTTTGACACCACTGCTCTGTTAGTGATGTTTCAGAGTAAAGACGTCGCGCTCTGCTACGTGCGTTAGCGTCGCGGCTAACAGCACCAGCCTCCATTCTGCGACAGGCTAAAGAGATGAATTACCTTTTGTATCCCAGCGGGTGTTATATCACCCTTTCCACGCTGCCTGTGAGGTGCGAACGCCACCGACATGGTAACACTATAAATGAAACGTGGGCAAGAGCATAAAAGTCAGAGGAAGCCGACACACTTCCCACAAATCCGTACAACTCCGATCAAACAGTTCAGAGAAGGAGGACGCACTTTTGTAATGCTGTGGTCCGTTTCAGGGGTGTGAATCTGGGCGTATAGTCTATTTATTTTGTCTTTGACTTAATATAGCACCAGTACATATTTGATTTTATAGTACAGTGCGAGCGCATGAAAAAATATGTGTATGAGCTCAAATGAAAACACCAGTGAAGATACTTATGTTTCTATCAACGTCACTCTACCTATTTTCAGAATATGGTACAGTCCAGAGGTCCAAGGGGAACTGGACCGCTCAAACAAAAGAGATGATGATAATTAATTTAATTACATTCTCACGTTTTTCTATGTATTTTATTGTATGTTGAATATGTATCTGTCTTTTTATGGACTACATGTGAATGAGCATGGTGCTAAATCCTGTGCAGCATTTTTTCTAATGTGTAGTGTCCTTCAAATGAAACAAAACTAAATACATTATTTGTTTATTATAATAATTATTAATTATCATGATGTTAACTGTTTGTATTGTAAGAATATTGCATGTTTTAGTTCAATGTAAATCTGGGACAAACACAAATAATGAACTAATTCAAAAAAATTAGTTTTAATTGCCACAAGTAAAAGCTTAAAGGTGTAATGATCATAATAAACCTTAACACTAAATTTATATTATACACAGTTGTGACATGTGTGGTTTTATGATTTGTGTTTCTGAGCGTTTGGTTTGGTTTGGTCCGGGGTCGCAGTTCACGCGCAGCCTCAATGCGCAGCATCGGAGCGGTCTGTGCTAATCATCCAGCTGAATCATTTAGTACAAGTCCCAGTGTTTATTGTCATTGTACGTCTTCTTTCTTAGAATGGCGGCTAGATATGATAGAGCTATTACTGTTTTCTCTCCCGATGGCCATCTGTTCCAAGTGGAATATGCGCAAGAAGCTGTAAAGAAAGGCTCTACTGCCGTAAGTTTGGGGATATTTTGGATCTTGTGCTAATGCTAACCATTGAAGCTAACAAGCTAACATGCTTTTCCTTATTCTAGCTAAACTGATTTAACTAGTTTAGTGAAATAGTTTCATTCATTCAAAGAGCCAGTTCAATTTGAGATCACTTAATCATATAATCACTTACTGGAAAATGCTATTGAAATGATAAAGTCCACTTTCGTACATGTCGCTGTGTCACTCTTGCTACAGCTTAGTTTCAGTTTCCTTTTCTTACACATTATATTTACCAATACTATTTGTCTTTTTTGATATGATTTCATATGATCATATCATTTGTCATATACATTCGATGTGTCATACATGCAGAATAACGTTTTTGTTTATTTAAATCTTAAATTATATTTCTACACATTTGAAACACCACTGAAAATGTTAGTTTTGCATTTCAGTGTCAAGAATAAACATCATTCTGCTTTTTGCCAAACGTGTCAAATTTTTTCAACTATAGTGCATTTTCTTGTAGGTTGGAATTCGAGGTAAAGACATCGTTGTTCTCGGAGTGGAGAAAAAATCTGTTGCAAAGTTGCAAGAAGAAAGGACTGTCCGGAAGATCTGTGCACTTGATGAGCATGTTTGCATGGCTTTTGCAGGTACATGTATGAACCTGAACGTGAATTAAAACATTCATACTGTCAATTTACACCAAATCAAATTGGATACAAACTCTCCCTTGTAATGTTTTCCTGTACTTTTTTTTAGGGCTTACAGCAGATGCTCGAATTGTGATAAACAGAGCCCGTGTTGAATGTCAAAGTCACAGGTTAACTGTTGAGGACCCTGTTACTGTTGAATACATCACACGCTACATTGCAACACTGAAACAGGTATGAATTCATTTTAATCTTGTCATTGGCCTGGTTAATGTTAATGTATGCCAATTTTCTTGTTAGCGCTACACTCAAAGCAACGGCCGCAGACCATTTGGAATCTCAGCTTTAATTGTGGGCTTTGACTATGATGGGACACCGAGGCTTTATCAAACTGATCCCTCAGGAACGTACCACGCTTGGAAGGTTGGGGAAATAAATATCCAATTTAATATATGTACCGTTTCCATGGTCTGAAATCATGACGCTGTATATTCTGAATGGTCTCCAAACCTTAGGCAAATGCTATCGGAAGAAGTGCAAAAACGGTCAGGGAGTTTCTGGAGAAGAACTACACAGATGAAGCTATTGCAGGGGACAATGAAGCGATCAAGCTGGCCATTAAAGCCCTGCTTGAGGTAAAATAATTTGATCTTATGTACACATTTTTAAAATGTATACTGCCATATATTCTCAATGTGATATTCATTTATTTATTCCAGTGAAATTGCAATGTACCTTCTAACATGTCAATTTTAATAGGTGGTGCAGTCAGGTGGAAAAAACATTGAACTTGCAGTTATCAGAAGGAATCAGCCTCTCAAGGTAATTGTTGCAAGGTTCTCAGGGTTCAATGAAATAGTATTTGGTTTAACCACTACTTTGTGATGTTGTGATGAAACCTAACCCTAACCCTTGTGATGCAGATTTTGGAATCCAAAGAAATTGAGACCCTGGTAGCTGAAATTGAAAAAGAAAAGGAGGAGGAAGCAGAGAAGAAAAAGCAGAAAAAGTCCTCTTGAATTCATTACCTAGTGTTTGTCATTGCACTTAATACAAATTACTCTTTAGACTGCAACAGTTGGCATCAATCCGTGTCTCATTTGTTTCATACTTTAGAGATAATTATAACTTGGGTTTAAACTATATAGGCTCACTTTCAGATCCAGCTCAAGACCTCAAGTTATGATTTTTGTCTCTTCGACCTGTACGTTTTTGTATATGCTACAGACAGTCCATTTGTCAAATGTTTTAAACAGTTTATATACATTCAGGAACATAATCAAATGACTAATAAAATGAGTTTGTAAGATGTGGTTTTTTGTGATATATTTTTTTCTTGAATATTTGTTTACATTATGTGTTACAAAGTGTGTTTTGAGTCTTACACACACCAGTGGAAGGAAGTCAATAGGGGGCAGTATAACCTATTGCCAACTGCTCAGGAAAATATTTGATCATTAGCTGCTATGTAGACTAGATGAATACACAGAATCATGAAAAGCCAAATAATATATAATCTGAAGGGAATAAATTAGGATCAGCATTGAATTAAAGCTTGTGTTATGATGTAATACAGGGATCTCCAACCTTTTTAAATCTGAGCTACTGTTTAGCACGTGTAACAATAATTAATATGGAGAAAAAAGTTAAAACGCTGCATATGCATATTCATATCAGTGATCAAAACCCATGTAAGTAGCTATTGTAATCATTTTGAATTTCCAAATCCTTTTGGGAGCTACCTGAAAACGAGCCATGGTTTGGGTCCCCTGTTAAAATTTAATTCCTTTTGGCTTTAGTTGAATTAATTTAATTCCCTTTACTAGTAGCAGATTTATTGTAATACAAAAGTGTTGAATTAGATTTATTTAAAGTGAATGTCGGTTACTCTTCTAAAAGTGAAGAGATATATTTTTTTTTTTTTCAAATGCAAGAACTTGACTTGACCACCTTCTCCTTCCTGAATGAACAACACGATTTCAGATTCCTTGATTGACACCAACAAGCCCCTCCCCATTGGTTGAGATATTCTGCAATTTTAGGGTGTTATCAAGAGGAGGGATTATAGGCCAAGAATACATTATTAAAAACATAATACGTTAAAATACGAGGCCCGGGGGTCAAAAATGGTCTTTCTATAAAAAAGTAAAAATTATTGACGTCACCTTTAATGCTCACAAACTTGATTTCAGAGGCCCAGATACTTTCATAAAACACTTACCTCTCTTTCATTTTAAACAAATTAACAATGAAGAGTGCAGTGTCTAATAGTGGCCCGACGAGACCCCCTTTCGCCACTTTCCTATTTTATTTCAGCCTAAATTCGCTTATCAAGCAACCGCTGCTCTGAATTCTCAACGACACAATTATGGCCGGCGGTGTGGTGGGGCTGCTGCTTAATGGGATCCTGGCCCCAGACCCCAGTGGGAACTTTCAGTGACTTTAATCTGGGAGCCCTTTGAAAAGTTGTGCCGTGCTGTGCTGAAGAGCCCCGGGGGTTCCCTCTGACTCTCAGCAAAGACATAATGGTGAATGGTAAAGTCCTTCATTTAGAGTCATCTCCCCAAGCCAGGATTTCCTTTCCTGAGTGGGTGCCCTGGCTGTCTTGACGAGAGCAATTGCACTTTCTCTGCAATTTGTCTTGTTTGGTGCGTCTTGACAGAGGTGGGCAGTTGTCAAGGCTCAATTAGGCAATGATGTCAAAGGAGTTGATTGCTTACTTATTGACTAGTATGATTATTTGCCTTCATACCATGCAGCCACAGGACCAATAAGAGATTCAGAATGTCCAATGTTGTTTGACCTCGTAAGATGCGCAAGGACCAGATTAGTATTTGCATGAGTCCCCACGGAAATGTGGCAGTCGCTACATCATGCACAACAGGTGTCTTTTTTTTTTTAAGGAAGACTTTTTCGATTCTCCCAGTGTTGAATTGGTAGGCACCGTGTAAAGGAGAAGGTTTGTTTGAGTTGCTGTGAATAGTGTGTTAACATCATATCACTGCATAAAAATACCAAACTCAGCCAAATATTTCTCTACCTAAATTATTAAATAGATTTGAGAGTTCTGGCAAACGTGTAATAGAATGGGGAAACCGGGAAAAAGTAAACGCAAAACAGATTGTCGTTGGGAAACTGAAGGCATGGACATGAGCAAAAAAAAAAAAAAAGTGCAAAGAAGAACAGAAACTTAAATTGGCTAAATCTGATCAGTTTAAACGACACCATTGAAACTGAGGATAGCAAACTCAATCAAGGAGGCAACTGAAATACAGAAATGCTGCAGCATCGGGACTATAAACCGGGACAATGGGCCCATTTCACTATCACACACCTGGTATACTATTATCCTGAAGCCGGACTGCAGATGGCGCTGTCGTTCTGCCTCTATTGATAGGAGTTCAGCACCAAAAGCTATTCATGTCACACGAACATCACTCAAGAATACAGTATGTGAGCAGTCAAAACCGTCAGACTTACTTACCGTCAGGCAGAATACTTTAGAATGTTTTTTGTCACAGAATACTGCATACTTTAAAATGAATCATGCAGCATATTCTTTATTCTGTTTATGGTACTGTATTCTGAATACTTGGGATACTTCATCACTCATCTGTATTATATTATTGTGTAAAAATGCAGAAAAGGTGTATATCTCTGACTTTATTCTTTTCCACACACTAACATTTATTTTCATTTTCATTTTCATTTCGTACATGCATAGTTACAAGACTTAACCAAACAAGATACTCAGACAAATTGTATATATAAGTATACAACAGATGTGCCTAAATTGTATGATCAATCACGACAATGTATTCAAATGTTGTATCTGTATTCTGAATATCACTAAAAACTGTATTTAAATTTCCAAACAATAACAATAGTATTCTGAATACATTTCGACAATCCTTGAAAAAACAACTAATCCAAATACCAAGAAAAAATGAGAATGCGTACTTTGGCTTATCCTCCAGCAACAAAGATGGCCAGATCTATCTTCCTGTAGCTCAATACAGCTTATTCTATGCTGCTGTTAAGGCTCCCTCCCAGTCTTTTTCAAACTGCTCATGGGAAGACTTTACTTTCTGTCTTCATCCTTTCTCTTATTTATATATTTGCCACAGCGCCTCAGGCCAAAGTCCATCTCTCTCATCACTGGCTTCAGCTCTTCATTAATGCAGAAAATAATGGCTTCACCAGAGGTCATCAGCGGAGAAACACGGCCCCAGGATTGGAATTGTGCACGGTGCTCCAGGCTGTCCTCTGTTTGTATGCTCAGGCCGAGTGCTCCCAGGCCCAAAGCACAAACACAGCATGGATTGGACCCAGTATTATATGAGCACACAACAGAGTCTTTCAAAGGCATACATGTCAGTACATTCTGCTGGATTTGAATCATCAGGAACATGAATGCAAGCGTATTCAGAAGAGTTATACTTACCAGAATCTTACCATGTTTTGTCACGTCATGATTACAAACATCCAGTTATTATTAATATTTTATTTTTGATACTAAATTGTAGGGCTTGGAAATGATTCAACCTCCTTTTCTCTGAGTTCAACCAACTTCCTTTAGAAGTTTCTTGATGACAGATAAATGGTCAATTGTCAGTCAACTAGAGCGTATTCAAGGTTTGAGAATATTTGTCACTAAACAGCATCATTGGACCTGAAGGACCCCACCAGAGAATTCAGGGATGAAGTTTAGGAATGTTTGGGATACAGGAGAAAATACAGTAATATAAGAGACAATCAAAAACAAGATTATGTGAGTGAAAAATACAATAAACTCCTGTAAACTTGGTAGATACGTTTGCTATGGTAGCATCATGTTATAAACCATTACAGTACTTGCTGGTCTACAGTGACTACTTTTTGAAATTGTTTTAACCCTGAGGCCTGTATTGCAATGCGGCCTATGTATGTATTTTGATTTTGTTAGAGCGTCTCCTGCGGTTTTAATTTTTCTGTCTAATCTCGTTACATCTTGACTTGATCAAATACAAGTATAGAGATGAGAAGCACGTTTATTATTGTAGATTTACAAGAGTGCTTTGATCTTCACGAGTCAAAGGTGCGTTAAAACACCTCTTCATTTAGTCATGTTGTGTCCAGTTTAAATCGTATCCTATTGGCTGTGTTTTGTTTTCAGTTGTTGGTGTTACAGTGTTACATTACAACATGAAAACCTGCAGCCTGTATTCAAGTACTGTGTGGAGTTTGCATGTTATCCCTGTGTCTGCGTAGGTTTCCTCCGGGGGCTTCGGTTTCCCCTACCGCTAATAAAAGGTACGATAAGTCTGTACTGGCGACCCTGCTCCAATCTCTGTGTGGAGTCAAATACTGCATTAACAACAAGAACTGATTATGTTTATGAACCGCGCAGAATATTTAGCAAAAATTGATAGACTTAAGAGTGGAAAAAGGTCCCAACAAGATTATGTGGGCCTTATATTAAAGGCATTTTTCTAAAACACTCTATCAGAAGCACATATATTTTTTATGCTTCTCTAACACTGCAGTTATATTTGTTGAGTTGCAATCGGCTCACAGTAGGACACATGTTTATACTATCAACAAAAAAACTGGATAAACACAACATATTATACTATGTTGATATATACAGTGTATTTATCCACATGTTTCCCTTTTTTGACCTTTTCAGACATTCAGATTCCATTTGCAAATTTCAGTACCCTTTTAATCCTCCAATCTCTCACATTATTCACATTCGGTCAGAGTTCTATTTCTATTTTTGAGGCAGCTACGTTTTGGTCATTCTAATTTGCCTCCCACGGGCCATATTTTTCCTTTTTCATTTTTCTAAAAGCAAACCCCTCTTGAGATATTTAAAAATCTGTCGCATCTGAATGTCCTTAGGTCCAAATAAAGCAACTGCTCCAAGGGTAGACGCACTGACACACTCCATCCTGGGGGACATGAGCCTACATTAGTCCATTCTACCCTGGCATTGTTCTCATCTCCACCCACCAGAGTGCAGTGTTGCATCAAAGCA